AAGCAAAAAGAACAAAGCTGGAGGCTACCTGATTTCAAACTATACTACAAGGCTACAGTAACCAAAACAGCATGGTACTGGTACCAAAACAGATATATAGACCAATGGAGCAGAACAGAGGCCTCAGAAATAATACCACACATCTACAACCATCCAATCTTTGACAAACCTGACACAAACAAGCAATGGGGAAAGGATTCCCTATTTCATAAGTGGTGTTGGGAAAGCTGGCTGGCCATGTACAGAAAACTGAAACTGGACCCCTTCCTTATACCTTACACAAAAATTAACTCAAGATGGATTAAAGACTTAAATGTCAGACCTACATGCATTAAAAACCCTAGAAGAAAACCTAGGTAATACCATTCAGTACATAGGCATGGGCAAAGACTTCATGACTAAAACCTAAAGCAATGGCAACAAAAGCCAAAATTGGCAAATGGGATCTAATTCAACTAAAGAGCTTCTGCACAGCAGAAGATGCTATCATCAGAGTGAACAGGCAACCTACAGAATGGGAGAAAATTTTTGCAATGTATCCATCTGACAAAGGGCTAATATCCAGAATTTACAAGGAACTTAAACAAATTTACAAGAAAAAAACCAACAACCCCATAAAAAAGTGGGTGAATGACACAAACAGATACTTCTCAAAAGAAGACATTTATGCAGCCAACAAACATATGCAACAAAGCTCATCATCACTGGTCATTAGAGAAATGCAAATCAAAACCACAATAAGATACCATCTTACACCAGTTAGAATGTCAATTATTAAAAAGTCAGGAAACAACAGATGCTGGAGGGGATGTGGAGAAATAGGAATGCTTTTACACTGTTAATGGGAGTGTAAATTAGTTCAACCATTGTGGAAGACAGTGTAGCAATTCCTCCAGGATCTAGAGCTGGAAATACCATTTGACCCAGCAATCCCATTACTGTGTATATACCCAAAGGTTTATAAATCTTTCTACTATAAAGACACATGCACATGTATGTTTATTGCAGCAGTATTCACAATAGCAAAGAGTTTGAGCCAACCTAAATGCCCATCAACTGGATAAAGAAAATGTGGCACATATATGCCTTGGAATACTATGCAGCCTTTAAAAAGGATGAGTTCATGTCCTTTGCAGGGACATGGATGAAGTTGGAAAACATCATTCTCAGCAAGCTAACACAGGAACAGAAAACCAAACACCGCATGTTCTCACTAATAAGTGGGAGTTGAACAAGGAGAACACATTGACACAAGGAGGAGAACATCACACACTGGGGCCTTTTCGGGGGTGGAGGGTTAGGGGAGGGATAGCATTAGAAGAAATACCTAATATAGATAACGAGTTGATGGGTGCAGCAAACCACCACGGCACGTGTATACCTATGTAACAAAGCTGCACGTTCTGCACATATATGCAGAACTTAAAGTATAATTTAAAAAAAAATCTTGATTTGACTGGTTTGAGGTCAAAGTATTCACTGAATGGAGATATGATGTTTGCTGTTTGTCCATGATATCTTGAAACACATAGGCCTTCTTAGAACCAAGAGGAATGCCATAAAATTCACTGAACATGACACCGAAAGCCTTTGGTTCTAGGACCTTTTCTGTCAGTTCTCAGGCAAGTCAATTCCCCTCTCTAAGTTTCAGTTTCTTCATTTATAATATAAAAGAGTGGAAATGGAAGTAGATTATCTGTAAGGTCTCTTCTAACGGTATGTGATTCTGGTAACAAAATGAAATCTGAGCCCACTTAGAATTTATCCTCACATTCCAGAATCTCAAACTACAGTTCCTAGAAGAGTCATATGCAGGCAGGGTTATGAAAATAGCAAGCAATTCTGACTGCTTTGTGATGCTAACATTTTGTATTATCCAGCCTACAAGCTCTTTTGTGAATAACACTTGATATTGCAGGTGAAAATGATAGAAGCCGAGATGCTCTCAGGCTGGACACTGGCAGCAAATAGATTGTAAGTAGAAATACTTGAGGAGAAGAAAGCCAGAGACCAAGGCACTGCTCACACTGGGGAGGCTGAGGTATTAAGATAAGGCCAGAATATTAATGTTAGTAGACCCCTAACATTCTCCTGGGTTAGATCTGGAGACCATTGGGAACCCTCAGATTTAAGATTGTTACTTTCATTTCTGTCATATTTGTATTCCTCAGGATATATATATTTCTTTTCTGTCGCCTAAGCTGGAGTTCAGTGGCACAATCTTGGTTCACTGCAACTTCTGCCTCCTGGGTTCAAGCGCTTCTCCAGCCTCAACCTCCTGAATAGCTGGGAGTACAGGTGCATGCCGCCACATCTGGCTAATTTTTTGTATTTCAGTTGAGACGGAGTTTCGCCTTGTTTCCCAGGCTTGTCTTGAACTCCTGAGCTCAGGCAATACGCGGGCCTCGGTCTCCCAAGGTGCTGGATTACAGGTGTGAGCCACCTACCCGGCCTCTTCAGGCCTTTTTGAACGAAATTAAAGTTCTGGTTTTCCTCTGATGAGTAATTTTTTTTTTTTTCATTTTAGGGCTAAATTTTAATAGAATGTGAGTCTGAACTCTTACATTTAGAATAAACAAAACCTAAAAGGTAATGATTGATTCAAAATGGTTTTATGGAAAAATTAATCTGTAACAAAAAGTTGGCATTGAGGGCAAAGGCTCCACTGTTTTTTGAGCAAAGCGAACAAAGGTTCCAAGGGACAGGACCAAGAATGAGGAGCTCAGACATTTACTACAGCAGGCATTTTCTCTTCTTCTTCACGGGATGTGGGCAGAGGACAGCTCGGATCGCTTTGTCAAACACTGTCTTGAGGCCTCGCTGTGTGAGCACCAAACACTCCAGGTATTTTGCAGCACCAATCTCCTTAGCCATGGCTAGACCCTGCGGATAGGTGATGGGAGTCAGCTTCTTCTCCTTCAGTTTCTCGACCGTGTCTTTATCATCCCTAAGATCAAGTTTAGTTCCTACTAGGATGATGGGAGTGTTGGGACAGTGGTGCCGCACCTCAGGATACCACTTTGCACGGACATTTTCAAATGATGCAGGACTCACAAGCGAAAAGCAAATTAAGAACACATCTGTTTGCGGATAGGATGGGGGCGTAATCTGTCATAATCGTCTTGTCCAGCTATATCCCATAAGCCCAGATTCACCGGTTTTCCATCTACCACAACATTGGCAGAATAATTGTCAGAGACAGTAGGGACATATTCTCCAGGAAATGCATTGATTGTGTAACTGATCAGTAGGCAAGTTTTACCTACAGCTCTGTCTCCCACCACCACACCCTTGATGGCCTGCATCTGGGCCGCTCGCTGGGCCGCGGCGGCGGCAGCAGGCGCTGAGACCGGAAGCGGCGGGCTAGGGGTGCAGCGGGCTGGCGCGAGACTTGCGGGCGGCGGGGCGCTGGGTGCCGGCGCCGCTGTCCACGCTGCCTTGCCTTCCGCGCACTGGAAGCCGAAGCCCGGCAGCTGCCACTACCCAAAGCTGAGGAAAACCCCTCTGATGAGTAATTTTATACTGATTTGAACACCTGAGGCAACTGCTTGACTTGGGGTTTCTTGTTGCTGTCTTAAAGTACATAACAAACAGACTTGTTTACCATGGAGAGTACAGCCACCACTGATTTTATTATTCCACTCTTTAATTGGCATGAAACTTCTAACATTGACAACAACAAAGCCATGTGCAGTTGTGTATGCTGCACTAGCTCACTGGCTGAACTGCTTAGGATATGTGGTGAATAGAAGAGACGATCAAATCCCGGAAGGCCTAAGGTCTACTGTATTCGGAACCTCCCTCCCTCTGTTCCCTCCACCTCACTTCCCAGCTGCTGTGACCTGAATGTGTCCCTTAACATTCATGTGTTGGAAACTTAATCACCCCTAATGCAACAGTGTTGGGAGGTGGGACTTTCGAGAAGTGTTTAGGTCATAAGGGTTCTGCCCTCATAAATAGATTAATGCTACTATAAGGGGGTTGCAGAGGTGGATTTTCTCCTTTTGCCATGTCAAGACATGGCATTCATCCCATCTGGATGATGCAGCATTCAGGGACCCAGAATGGAAGCAGAGAAATCAGGCCCTAACCTGCCAGCATCTTCATCTTGCACTTCCCAGTCACAGTGTCTGTGAGAGAATAAATTCCTCTTCTTTATAACTTATCCAGTCTCAGGTATTCTGTTATAGCAGCACAAAACGGACTAAGACACCAACTTTATGTGGCCAAGCTGTAGGCTTATGAAGCTGCAGACTAGCCTGACATTTCACAAAGCTAGGTATTTGTGAGCAAGTGCTATCATTCATCTTGAGCCTGCATGGCCCAGTACCATGGTCACTAGTCACATGTGGCTATTGAGCAATTGAAATGTAGCTAATCCAAACTGAGGTATGCTGTAAGTGAGAAATACATACTGGATTTCCAAGACTGGGTACAAAAAAAAGAATGCGAAGTATCTCATTAATAACTTTTATATTGATTACATGTGGAAATGATAACCTTTTTTGATATATTGGACTAAATATAATATATCATTAAAATTAATTTCAGCTGTTTCTTTTTACCCTTTTTTATGAGTCTACTATAAAAATGAAAATTATATATGTAGTTCATATTTGTAACTCAAATTCTTTTTTAATTGGGCAGCACTGCCCTAGATTGTTGAGAAAGAGTTTCTGACCACATACTCTGTGCCCAGCGTTAGAACAGACCATGGTTTCTTGCTCTTTGCCTCATCAGAGTCAATCACAGTACTTGACCTATAAGCAGGTGCTCTGTTCAGGAAATGTGGCTCCAAAATAGGATGCTTTGGTATGTTCATTACTTTGAACTGAGGGCACTTGGGAAACAGCAGAGACAAGCAGAGGCTTTGTCTGAGCTCCCCTTATCTGTCTAAAAATGGATTCTCCAAAAGGAACACAATTGTCAAGAATCCCCTCCCCTGGAATCTCATTAACCAGGGAAGATTAACTGGGATCACAGGAGAGGAGACTGGAGGTGGAGACCAAATCCAGATAATCACCTGTTCTTCAGAGGGCTGCTCCGAGACAACTTTTATTACCTAAGAGACTTTTTATCTGTGTAACAAGATGACCTTTATTTACCATATATTTCCTCCCCTCACCCTCCAATAACTTGTGTTGCCACCATCCCCCAGAAGCCAGAAACCCCTATTCCTTTCTGTACCTTCAATCATCTGACCCTTCCTCAAGTCTCACGTTTTTGTGAGACTCTTGTGCATATATACAGAATTAAATAAGGTTTTTCTTCTGTTAACCCGTCTTATGGCAGTTTAACTTGTTGCCCAACCAAGGAACCTAGAAAGGTGGAGGGAAGCCATTTTTCACTCCCCAACATTGCTTACTCTTGAATGAATGAATGTCTCCTCCAATATTCTAACCCTAGGATAGATTGACTTTGGAAGAGACAGCCAGGGTGAAATCTCCCTGCTCCTAAGTAGGTCCACCCTGCCATTGCATGGTTGTGAGTGAAAAGAGCTTGGGAAATCAGAGGACATCTTACTTCAAGATTCAGCTCAGCACATAACTCATTTGCTGTGTGACCTTGAGCAAGTCATTGCTCTTCTGACTTTCTTTTCTTCCTCTGTGGAGTAAGGAGGTTGGGCCAGAGAGTTACTCTAGGCTCCTTCCAGTGCTTGTACCCCGAGTCAATGACCAGAGAGGGGCAGATAAACCTTTAAGAAGAGCTAATATTCCATTATTCAGAATCACCACCATGCCTGCCTCAAGTTCTCTTTTGGCTCCCTTTTGCCTGATTTACTTTTCCTCTTCACCTTTATCTGTTATACTCTGTGCTTTTGCCTATGCTTCTCCTCCCTGCCCCTCAAGCAATGCCAGTACTATCTGTCTCCTGATTTTCCATTGCTTTTCTTCTCCAGTTGTTGGGGATACAAAATGCAGAAGGAAAAATACATTCCAATCCTTGAAGTGACTATAGATTAGGTTTTGGGTGGAATAGGATTTCTTGTCCACGTTTGCTTTGGGCACTATGGCAGTGGTAAGGAATAGAGATGGCAAATGGCAGTCCCAAGATTTGGAGTAGTGGTGAGCTAGGACAAAATTCTAGCCCACACAGTTCATGGCAGCCATTATAATTTCAGCTTCCCTTGCTAACATTTGCTGGTCTGCCATCACTCTTACAATTTCCCTTGAAATTAGGAGTTCTGCAATGCCAGTTTGAAGCATTTGCTCTTACAGTTGTTAAACGGGAATGAGAAGTCACTAGCTCAGGGGTGACAAACCCAAGTGCCCACTCAGGGGTCAGGCACAGAATAGGGAACATGAGCAAGGTAGATGAGTGTAAGAAAATAAGGAACGGTGGGAGGTGTGGCAAACCAGAGAGTGTTTGTTCTAGCTTAAGGCATTCAAATTCTTCCTTTTTTTTTTTTGTTTTAGGTTTTTTGTTGTTGTTGTTGTTTTGCAGTGCTGACCAAACAAAACACATTTCTAGGCTGAGTTTGGCCCATATCCCACGGGCTTCAAAGTTTACCATTCTGCCTAGCCCATCTGCTGTCTCGGTTCTGATTATATACTTTCTAAATTCTACATTTTCTTTCATGATGATTGATGTCATACTAAGACAAATCACTTTAGAACTAGTGGTCTATGTTGAATGGAATCCTATCAACATATGCAAACCTTCCCTCTCTCCCCTTACTCTCCATTTCTAGAAACACCATCATCCCCACTCTGGAGGCCTCCATTCCTTTCATGGGTTGCTTGAGCATTAGTTATGTTAAACTTCAAACCAAAGCAAAGATTCTTCATGATATTTGCATCCTTTGAAATCTGATTATATATTGTCAGCAGATTTTCTCCCCAAATTGAAATACCCGTGCTTATTTACACATAAGCGGAGCCTCTCGATAACTTGGCATTTCTTCTAATGTGCAGGATTACTCTGAATGCATTCAAACTGTTGCAAAGTTGGAAAGATCTCAGAGGACATCTTGCCATGACACATCTGCCTCTCTAATGCACTCTTCCATCTGCTGAGGAGAAAGATGCCTTTTATACCCAAATGACCTAAATACAAAGAATCATCACTCCTCTGTCATCCTGCATTGCCACCCCCAGGAAACAATGAGCACCCTGAAGACAGAGTCTGTGTCTAAGCTGCCTTTGTAGCCCCAGCAGACAGTGCCAGGTCTGGGACATGGCTGGCACTCAAGGTTTGGAACTGCACTGTCCTTCGGGATAGTTATAGAACTGAACTGACTCCTTCTTCTCTAAATACAGTCATATGTCATTTAATGATGGGGATACATTCTGAGAAGTGCATCATTAGGTGTATTTTCTTATTGCGTGAACATCATAGGGTGTGTATACACAAACCTAGATGGTATAGCCTACTACACACCTAGGCTAGGTGATATAGCTTATTCCTCCTAGGCTACTAACCTGTGCAGTGTTAAAATATACTCCTGGCTGACAGACAAAATGGATTCCCCGTGGCTAAAATGAGACACACCAAGATGAAATCAAGCAGCCATAGCAGAGAGAGGAGTTGGTCACATACCCCTATATTACTGACTGCCATAACATCTCTTCTCCTGTAATTGGGCAGAAGCTCACCCTTTAAAAAAACTGTCAAAACACCTATAACTGGGAGTTTCCCAACTGATGCTTGGTGGACTGCCCGATACCTGCTGGCCTGACCCTGCTTTGTGGGCCTGCCAGCAACCCCGATTGGACAGCAGACTGACCTTGTAAACCTTTCCTGATAAACAGCACAGACCTCAAGCCAATTTCGCCGGCAAACAGAGACTGCACAAAACCTCTTTTATGCCCTGTAATTCACATTTTGACATCCTCATCCCCATTCCCCAAATAAACATAATATGTATATGTATGTTTGCCTACTACACATGTGCTTGGCTTCCCTCATAAATATTCATAGATTTCCCCAAAACCTGCTAAATATACATGTGAGGCAGACCTGAAAGACGTAAATGCCAGTTTCCCTCTTCCCTCTTCAGATTGTGTGCTTTTGATTTCCCTGGAGGCTACGTTTCCTGGTCTGCAGATTGTCTCTCTGAAAATAAAGTTTTCTCCTATTCCTTTCTCCATAGATCTCATGGTCATTTGTTAACAACAGCATATTACTGTCTTGAATACTGTAGGTAATATAACACAATGGTAAATATTTGTGTATTGAAACATAGAAAAGGACAGTAAAAATATGGCATTATAATCTTATGGGACCATAGTCACATATGTAGCCCGTCCTTGAATAAATGTTATGCAGCGCATGACTGTTGTCATTTTTTCCCATTCATTTATTTACCTAGCACACATCCATTACAGATATGTTTTCTGCCATGAAAATGGAAAGTGGGAAATGTTCAAGCAGATTCTTCCCTTGCAATTTTTTTCAAAGAAAGGCTTTCATCCTGGGTATTGTTTATTGAGTACCTACTATATGCCAGGCTTTGAGCTAGGTACTGAGCACACACTGATAAAATGATTTAGTCCTGCTG